GGGGCCAAATGTGGTGCCAGGATTGAACTAGGATCAGCAACATGCAAGAAAGGTGGCTAAACCCTTGAAATAATTCTCTGGTTCCATTTTTTTCTTTAAAAAAATCTAAGTGAGTGGTAGATGAAGAATTTTTGCCCACTCAGGGACCCAAAAGTTGAACTGTCTAAAACCTCTGTGTATACAAGCATGGTGCTTAGCATGTAGAAAGCATTGATCTTCAATATGTTATAAATATTCTGATAATCACCTATTCAAAAGATAGGCTTCCCCTTTTGGGGGATACAAATATTTTAACGAAAAAGAGGATAAGGAGGTGTGGTGAATATTCCCAGTGGTGTAAGGGAAGGTTTGGCACAGGAATGTGGGTCGAGGGACCTGGCGAAAATCAGGAGAGCACAGAGGACCCGGGGCTGATTTCTGGGGAACATGCAGGTGCCTGTCCCCTGCCCCATTCACTCTGCAACTTCAGTAGGCGTCCTCTGAAAACTGCCTAGACACACACTATCCCCAGGAGGTGTGGGAAGCAGAAGTCGCCCCATCGCGCATCCAGAGAGGCTAAAGAAGTTTTTCTTTTTTGGAAAGACTTGTCAGGGAATCCCACAAATGCCTTCTGCTAAGAAGGTGCCTGTTTGCTCTAGGCTGGAATTCTACCCAATCTAGTGCTGATGAATCAAAAATCAGCCTTTGCTGGTGCCAGCAGCTCTGGGAGCAGAGCACCCTCTGGTGGTCATAAGAGACCCATCGGGCAAGTCCCATCTGATGACGTAGAGGCGTAGTCGGCCTGTCCTGGCAAAGCAATCACTAGAGGAAGGCAGAGTTAGCGTAGAGTGCTGGTCCACCAGAAGAGAGGCACACCGGCTGGGTTCCCTAGTTACTAGCTGTGTGGTCTTGGTGAAGTCACTTAACCTTTTTTTTTTTTAATTTTTATTAGTCTTACAAATTTCTGTACTTGGGTTTCAATTATACAATGATCAAATACCATCCCTCCACCAGTGCCCATTTCCCACCACCACGGATCCCAGTATCCCTCCCACCCTCCATCCCCCCATCCCACCACATCCGTTCCGTCAGAATGTAACGGGCTAGTCTTCGTATCCTGGTCCGCCTCTGCGACTACAGGCGGTACGGCTGAGGCAGTGCTGTACAGGGCTCGATTAAGGAACTCATGGGATTGGAAAAGATCAAGGAGCATGTGAATGGTTTCCTAGAGAGAAGGGGCAAGGCACCAACTCCCAGGCTTTCCCCACCAGCCACACCCAGCGGCCAGAGCCTGGGTTTCAGTGGCAAGCACACAGCCGGGCCTTCAGGATTATCCATAGCCCAGGGGACAGGCCCGTCCTCCTTCCTTCCTTTCTTTCTTTCTTTCTTTCTTTCTTTCTTTCTTTCTTTCTTTTTCTTTCTCTCTTAATTTTATTAAATCACCGTGAGACAGTTACAAGCTTCCATGTTTGGGTTACAATCACACAATGATCCAACACCCATCCCTCCACCAGTGCACATTCCCCATCACCAATATCCCCGGTACAACCCCCCTTTCCCACCCTCCCTCTGCCTCCATGGCAGATATGATTCCCCATAATCTCTCTCTACCTTTGGGCATTATGGTTTGCAATACAGACACTGAGAGGTTATCGTGTTTGGTCCTTTATCTACTTTCTGCACACATCTCCCATCCCGACCGATTCTTCCAGCCATCTTTTTTTTATTGATCCCTTCTCTATTCCAGCTGCCTTCTCCCCTTTGCTCATGAGGCAGGCTTCCAGCTATGGAGCAATCTATCTATCCCGTGTATCTACTGTCCTTAGGTGTCAACCTCATGTTATATTGTTTTATACTCCACAAATGAGTGCAGTCCTTCTATGTCTGGCCCTCTCTTTCTGACTCATTTCACTTAGCATGATACTCTCCATGTCTATCCATTTATAAGCAAAGTTCATGACTTCATCTCTCCTGACAGCTGCATCGTATTCCATTGTGTAGATGTACCAAAGTTTCTTTAATCAGTCATCTGTTCTAGGGCACTTGGGTTGTTTCCACTTGGGTTGTTTGGCTATTGTGAACAGTGATGCAATGAACATATAGGTACAGATGTCATTTCTACTGTGCTTTTTAGCATCCTCGGAATATATTCCCAGAAGTGGTATTGCAAGGTCACATGGAAGCTCAATACTGGCCTCTTTCAAAATGCTTTCCCAGTTCTCACTTGCCCCGTGTGGCTCTTCTTACACCTCTTTCTCGAGTTCAGGGAGCCTGACTACTGAGCAAAGGAGAGGATGTTTTCCAAGCGGGTGGCATTTCCAGGTATGCTCTGTCAACATCAGACTATTTCTCTGACATTTCTTTGGACGTTCTGAGTGGCAGGTAGGATCATGCTGGCTCTCCTCTTCCAGTCCAGAAAAGGAAGCAAGAGAGTGTGGGTTCATCTCTCATGGGAACCTTAGAGTGTGCCTGTGCCTGTTTGGATTCCTTGAACCTGGAGGGGAAGGCCCTAAGAGCAAGCCTTCCTCATGGCAGTTGCTTGAGTGGAAAAAGACCTTCATCTGCATTTGGGTGTGGAGACAGTTCCCAGGAAACCCAGTGACCTTGAGTTTTCTCGCTGTTATCATCAGACCTGGCAGATGATCTGATAGATGGGTGAAGAGCCCAAGAAGAATCTGTTAAACTTATTTGTGTATTACTAAGGCTCCCTAGGATGGAAGTTATGCAAAGACTGTATGAAGGAACAATGCTTCTATTGCAGGTCATGAGGGGCTTCTTCCTTTCATTGATTTTCACAGGATTGCAATGGTAAATGCTGCAAGAAAATCCATGTTAAAAAAAAAAGCAAATATTGGTTTAGTGCAAAATACAGGAGGGGTAAAAATTTGACCTGCAAAATCAAAAGCTGTAGCAGATTTCCTGGTGGAGACAGTGCAGCCAAGCGGGGTGAGGTGGGGTGGTAGGAGAAGGGCTTACTTGCAGATATGTGGGAAATCTGAGTTAGAATGTCTGAAGTGGGGGGTGGGTATGATTTTGGAGGCACCAATGCCAAAGGATCCATGAAGATATGAGATCCAGTAGCAATTGGACGACCAGCCCAAGGTCATCCCTCAGCTAGCACCAGCCCTGGGGCAGGCAGCTGGAGTTTCTTACTTCCGGTCCCTGCATCTTCCTCAATACAGGAAGAACAGACCAGCTTCATCATCAGGCCCTGGTCAAGGGTACCGTCATCAGGAACAGTGCCCCCCAAGCCCTTATCTCAACCCAAGGGTCAATGTGGTCTTAACAAGCATAAAGAAAAACCATAGATGCGGCAATAGGCCAGTAAGAATGACCGTTTTATTATTCATTTTATTCTAAAATAAGTTCTGACTTATTTTATGTAGCTGGAAAATAATAAATGATAGTAATACTGGACCTTGCTAGTTTAGTAGAAACTGTTTAAAATAAATTTTCTAAGCGATGGGTCATTAAAATAAATGTAATTAAAATAAATGTTCCAGAGTAGGTCACCCCTTTCTGTAAGGAGTATAAATTGTATGTACAGGCAACACACCCCCAGCTTTAGGGGGACAGGAACTAGTCTCAGTCTCCAAGTACAGAATCGAGGCTCCCAGAGGTCAGCCCCAGAGCTCCCAATTCTGAGGTGAAAGTCAAGGTCACAGTCAAGTTTCTCACCAGTCCAAGGCCCTTCCCCAAAAGTCTAAGAAATACCAGCACCTTGGTCAGGGGGACACATCTACTTTAAAATGGCAAGATGGAACAATATCAAGAAAAAAACAAATGTACTGTCCATGAGATTCACCCAGGGGACTTAACACAGAACTAAATTGCAGCAGTGGGGGAAGTGTTGGGGAAAGTGTTTGTGGGTGTCTTTGCAAAGCCCATGTTGACAGGTGGTCGTGAGTGGATATTGGCAATTGAACCTGTTGTTGGCAATCTGGAGAAGAGGGAGGGGGTTGTTTCTGAGTAGTCATAGACCCAATGAGAGAAAGGGATGTTTCTACACAATATCCTAGTGGCACTTCGAGTCAGTGGGTGGACCTCCTCCCACCCGGCCCCCGGAGGCCCTGGTTGCCCATGCTCTTCCAGGAGACCTGTCTTGCCCCCAGACCTGGGCTCTGTAGTGGGGATGGGGTGCTGGGAGCCTCCTCACAGCACCTTGGGAAAGGCCTGGCCTGACCCTCCCTCAGCACACTTCCAAGCACCTGACCACGGGGCCCTGTGCGCATGTACTCTGAAAACTATTGGTCTCTCTTCCTGTCAGCCAGTGTTTCTCCTAGTAATGCAAGGACTTGGACCTTCTGCTCCACTCCACAGAGCACGACGGTACCTTATTCTGAATAATCCCTTGAAACAAAATGTATTTATCATCCCCCCCACCCTGTATCTCACACACACACACACACACACACACACACACACACACACACACACACACACACAACTTCCAGCCTGAATTGCTCTCCCATCGCTGATCCGAAAGAACTATGAGTGATTCCCGCCAGGCACTCTCCTATGGGGCTGGTGGGGGAGAGGAATGTGAGGCTCGCAAGTTTTCTACCCTGAGATGCTCAGAAACAAGACACTGTTTCCCTGGTCCAATCCCCTGAGGGTCCATACTTAGCCAAACTTTGCATCGTACTGACCTTGGCCAACTAGTTCTGAGAGCTTTTTGTGAGTAAAGAGATGTTAAAAAAAAAAAAAGCAAGAAGGCAAAAGACTGAGAAATCAAGCCCCCCACTACCCTCATATCACAAAGAAAGCAAAATTGCCACTGGGCCCGGGCTCGGGTTGCTGGTGGGGCTCCTTCTGGGCCTCCTGGCTGGGTGCTCACGAGATCTCAGCGTCTTTTCAGGTCTGTTCTCCAGAGGTCAATCACCCCAGCGTCAAGGCTGCTTTCAAGCAGCTTGGCCCTGCATGGCGCTGCACACGCACACACAAACACAAACACAACTCTCTCTCTCTCTCTCTCTCTCTCTCTCTCTCTCTCTCTCTCTCCTCTCTCTCTCTCTCATCTTGCTCTTGGCGCGCTCTGAGCCGTGCTGTGTCAGTCCAGGCTCAGTCTGGGCATCAGCCACCACAGCCCGCGCCGTCTCTGGGGTTCCGTAGGAGGATGGTAAGCACCACGCGGTGCCTCCTCCCCGGCCGACACCGTCTTCACGTAGATGTGCCCTTCCTCTGCTCCCGTCATGTTCTCACGGGTGGGTGACCTGGCAGGATTCTTGAGAAAACAAAAGAGAATTTGGCAAAGTCATCTGCGTCCCAAGTTGGAGTCAAGACAACCAGATAGATCCGTCCACTGGAAACAGCAAGCAGAACCTGAGAAACTGGCTAAGGGTTCTGCAATCAGGAACAAGGGTGCAGGGAGTTCCAGAGCTACTCCTGGCTGCTCCTGGGGGGCCACACAGTGCCAGGGATGGAGTTCAGAGCTTGGTCTATGACATATGTTAGGCTCTTCCTCTGAGCTTTCTCCTTGGCCCCTATTCTTCAGTGTTATACATCAATCTTGAATTCTAGTTCAGCGAGAAAGGCGCCATCATGCTGTTCTGTGCCTGAGCTTCAACTCAGCCCCTTCCACTGTGCTCACACTGTTCTCGGGACAAAGAAGGCTTGAAATCCTTAGTCTGGGGGCTGGAAGGTTGGCACCAAGGGCAAGTATGTATGCTTTGCATGAGGGAGTTCTGGGTTCAACCTCCAGCACAAGGTTCCCCAAGCACCACCGAGAGTGACCCCAAAACTGAGTGGGGAGATAGACCCAAGGCATAATTGGGTGTGGTCGCCAGACAAACAAAAAGTAAATAAATAAATCCTTTGCTTGGTTCCTTTGAGACAGCTAGAGAGTGGTTATGATTCTACAGTGCTTACCTCGGCTACCTTGGGACTGTCATAAATTTCTGAAATTTCACATGGCATCTCACTGTCCTAAATAGAAAATAGAGAAAAGAATTCAAAGATGGCTGCCATGGACGGTCATAGCATTTGCCCATGACCATGGTTAAAAGTGATGGTTCTTACACTTGGAACATTGGAATCAACAGAGAGCTTTAAAAAAAATAAAGCAATGTTAACAACCACAAACTAAACCCCCTCCCCAAACTTTAAATCACCTAGGGCTGGCTGTGTGGACACATGGGTGGGACGGGCCAGGAGCCAACTAGATTTATTGTACCATCTGTCTAGTACAAGTGTCTATCGACTTGGAATGACAGGCTGTTGTGTTTGTTTGCTTTTAGTGTGTCTGAAGGGTTAGTGCCACAGGTCCTCTATCCTGAGATTTCTATTTCAAGGATTTTGGTGGCTGGTATTTTTGTAGCATCTAAGATGATTTTAAAGTGCATTAAAGGTTGAGAAAGTACTATTTACTGTAGTTCTACCACTGACAATTATTTCTGGAAGTGTTGAGTTTTCAGCTGCCCATGAGACTTTCCATGCAGAACCTCGGCTCATCTTGGCCTCCCTCAGTCAGTGGTTGACTCCTATTTTGGGGTTGAACTAACTGAGGCACAGAGAGTGTAAAGTTGACCCTTGTCCACAACCATGTAAATCATGATGAGACAAGAGCCTGGCTTAGAGTTTTGGTTTTCTAGCTCTGGGTACCTGGGCACAGAGAACAAATGGTCAGGGCTGTTTGTGAACAGAGGGTGGAAGGAGATCTCTTAGTACACACACGCACACGCACACGGACACACACACACACACATGTGCGACCATATGTACACACACATGCACATACACACTCACATACACACACAGAACCTTGGCTCAGTAATTTCCCTTGGTTCCCTGGGTCTGGTGTGGGAAAAGGGCAATCAGGGTAAGTTCACGTATGAGAGGCACCACCCTACCCTGTGCCCCGTTTGCTTCTGCCCTTTCCAAGGATGCTCTCTGCCTGATTCTGGGAAGTGTGTGGCCTCATGGTTCTCAACCTTAGCAAACACACCCGTTGTCTGGACTGTGTTCGTGATGGCAGCCAGTGACCTTTCCCTCTTCACTCCTACCACCCCAGTGACCGCCCCAGGGTCACAGACCAGTGACCTGAGCAATGTGTAACAATTCAGCTCTGCTGGGAACTTAGGCCAAGGATCTGAGAGAGAATCAGAAGTGCAGGGAGGTTTACTGAAACATCTTTTTAAAATATGATTATTGGCGGGTGGGGGTGGGGCAGATTGGGCCACAACTGGCTAAATTCAGGGCTTACTTCTGACTCTGTGCTCAGGTGGAGCTCAGGATACCATATTGGGTGTGTGTGTGGAGAGGGGGAGGGTTCAGGGATCAAACCCAGGTCAGCCACATGCAAGGCAAACGCCCTATCCTGCTGTACTGTTGAACTGACCCATGAAACACCTACTTCTGCCCAAACACTCAGACCCCAGGAAGCTGCTGGTCACCTCAATGGTCTCACTGCTGCTGTTGCTTCTTCTTCTTCTTCTTTGTTGAATCACAATAAATACTAACGCCACCATCAGTCCCGTGGCCACCAGAGATGGAATGCCTGCTGCTACTCCAAGAGACGGCCCGCAGTCCTGCATGGAAAAACTCAGTCAGACTCCACAAGGGAAGAAGTTTCAACAGATTAAAAGTAAAACCTGGCAGGCTGGAGGCACTGAGTTGGAGACTGTACCACATACCCTCACTAGGGACTGTGTGACCCCTGGGGCGCCTGAGTACTTCCAGATGTGGCCCCTCTGTAATATATATAATATATATAATATATATATATATAATTATATATATATTAAAGGTAAAGGCCCTCCCGTTGATCGTCGATTTGCTCGAGCGGGCCCAGTAACGTCTCCATTGGAGACTTTGTTGTTACTGTGTCTGGCATATCGCATACTCTCGGTAGCTTGCTGGGCTCTCCGAGAGGGGCGGAGGAATCGAACTCAGGTCGGCCATGTTGGCCACTTGTAAGGCGAACGCTCTACTGCTGTGCGATAGCACAGCAGGTAGGGCGATTGCCTTGCACGCATTCCTCTGCCCCTCTCGGAGAGCTCGGCAAGTTACCGAGAGTATCTCGCCTGCACGGCAGAGCCTGGCAAGCTACCCGTGATATACCCGATATGCCAAACACAGTAACAACAAAGTCTCATGATGGAGACGTTACTGGGCCCGCTCGAGAAAATCGATGAACAACGGAAGGACAGTGATCAGTGATATATATATAATTGTGTATATATATATATATATATGATTCAGTGGCAGAGCACAGGTCTGGAATGTGTGAGTATGTGAGGCCCTTGGTTATATCTTGGGGGGGGCAGAAAGAGTGGGGGAGAGGGAGGGGTGGGTTTCATTCTTGAGAAAGAGAGAGAGAGAGATTGTAATAAAATTCAGTGAAAAACTGCTTCTTGCAATGTGCATGACATTTTCATGAGACTTAAATCTGGGTCAGGCTAGGGGCTCAAAAGCACAATGCAGAAGAGCCATCTGCACTTCTATGTTCATTGCAGCACTATGCCAGAATCTAGAAACAATGCAAGTGCCTGAGAACAATGACTACATAAAGAAACTATGGTTCATCTGCACAATGGAACACTATGCAGATGCTCCTTCACAGGAAAAATGAAGTCATGAAATTTTCTTATAAATGAATGAACATGGAGAGTATCATGCTGAGTGAAATGAGTCAGAAGGAGAGGGAGATATAGAGAGAATGATTATACTCATGTGTGGGATATTAAAAAAAATAGTATGAAACCTATACCCAATGACATTATAAATGAGAGCTAAACCCAGTGGTGTTCAGGGGTAACTTCTGGCTCTGTACTCAGGAATTATTCCTATCAGGGCTTGGGGATCCATATAGGATGCTGGCGACCGAACCTGGTTTAGCCACATGCAAAGTAGGTGCCCTGTCCATTGTACTATCTCTCCAGCCCCTCTAGTGAATTTTAAAAACATATTTGCATTAAAAGCATTAGTTGGTTCATTTTCAAATTTCTACTTTGCTTTCATCTATGTGGACATAGCTATGCTGATAGTCACACATGTTTGCATATTTGCAAATAATCTGGAACTATAAAGGATAATTTGTGGAACCCCTATAAATATTTGACTCTCCTAGATAGTGGACATCCAGAAAAGTTGATAAATCAGAAATAATAAAGTCCGATGCCTTTTCTCTTTATGGATGCACTCATGTGACCAGAACCCAGATGAAGAAATAATCAATTATTGCTCCAACCCTGGAGCCTCTCGGTTCCCAGTTCTGCACCCCAAGTGTAACCACTATTTTGAAATCCAGCCCCTTACATGAATACTGTGTTTTCCTGTGATCATAAACACATGCTCTGAACACGTCCATGGGATGAGCAGAGAATTTTTCCCCATTCGATTCTCTTTGTTGTTACCTGCAATGACCAGGGATGCACACAGCTGGGTGTCGTGTTCCTGAGGGTCACAGACTATTGGTTGCTGGGCTTGCACACATTTGGATGCCATGTGCTGGAGTCAGGAATCTCCAGAGTCTAGCTACTGGGTCATACTCAGCCACGTGTGATCCCGCTGGGGATCAAACTCTCAGCCTCCTGACCTGGAGGTCAGTCAGCTGTTCTCGTGCTGTGTTATGTCCTTCCTTCCCCTTCCACAGACCTCCCCCTCCCTTTCATAAATGACCAAACCAAAGCTCCATCTTCTAAGGGATATACTTACTGCTTCTTTCCCAACCGTCACAATTGGGGAGGAAGTCTGGGGAGGAAAAAGAAGACACAACTGAGGAAAACCAAATCTCCAGAATGCACAACACACAAGACAAACTGTCGAAGGGTGAGCTCTAGGGCCTGAAGCTGACCTCTTTGCTCAACTTTGGGTTAAAAAATACCACAAATACCACAGTTGCCCAATGGAACCTTACCCGGTTGCTTCTCAGGCAAGAACTGGAATGAAATTTGGCTATGCAAGGAGAGAGAATGCAGGTGGGGTCCTCATTGTTCACCCTCGGATTGGCCACAACGCATCTGACAGCTCCCAAGGGCTGTCTCCAGCCTCATGGCCCCACACGCTTCCCAGCACACTCGGGAGCTGCTTGTCCCCTTGTTTGAACAAACACAAAATCTTGGTGGAAACCGGCTCTTGAAGGAAGCCTCACTTATTTTTAAGGGTGGTGAAACAATTAGGGGTGGAATGACTGAGAAGTCATGAATTGTCTGTGCTCCCAAAGGCCTTCACAGGGAACAGGAGAACCCGAGCTTCCCGCTCAGGTCTCCACCCTGGGCCGCACCCGATTTCCCCATGTGTGAAATCTTACCTCAGTCAGCCACCTCAGGAAGCAAATTCAATGGAGCAACAAACTAACCTGTGTGAATAATGCTCAGTGGGGGGATGGGGTGGGAGGGTGGCAGGTGGGGTGGGGTGAGGAATATGTGGGGGTTGTATATGTGGGTGGGTGTGTCTGTGTATGTGGAGGTGTGGTCTGTGTGTGTGTAGGTGTGGGGTGTGGGGGTGAGTGTAGGGCTGTGGGCGTGAGTGGGTAGGGCTGTGAGGGTATGTATGGGTGTATTGTGGGTGTGAGTGTGGGTGTGTGAGTGGAGGGTGCAGGTGTGTCTGTGTGTGGGTGGGTGGGTGATAGATGGGTGTGTGTTGTATGAGTGGGTATAGGCGTGGGGGTGTGGGGGTGATGGGGTTGGGTCCAGGGTTTGCAGGTCAGCAGCTACAATGAACGGTGCTTTCTCCGCCCACAAGCTGAAGGGCTCATTTTTGCATCTAAAGCCAGGGATGGGGATACATACCTCTAGGCTTGTGGTGAGGATCACTGGTGCAACGGAAGTATAGGCTTTGGTCATTCCTTTACACTTGGCAAAGCTTATTTAATTATTTACTCACTCCTCTTGTCAGCCTCAGAGAGCACTCTGGAGTCCCCCGGGCTCAGGCTTTGGGCAATTACTGTGTCTGGTTACAAGAAATGAAACGGAGCTCAGAGAAAGGGCACGACCAAGGTTCTGAGGAGCCACGCGTCTCACCTGGCCTTGGGGATCTGAATTCCATGCCGAGGCGTCTCTCCCAGACTCCTCCCAGCAAAAGAAGCTTCCAGAGCCAGCCACTGACACCTGCTACACTTTCACCTCCAGGCCCTCACCCTCCTGTCTCCACGTTACCTTCACGCTGCTTCTGTCTCGAGTGTTGCCTCTCAGGATGGCGGAGGAATTGGATGTCACTTCAGTGAGACATTTGAACACAGATTCCGGAAATTCACTCTGCTGGCTTTGGCCACACACACACACACACACACACACACACACACACACACACACACACACGCAGTGGCAAAGGCATCACAGTGTGCACACTGGAACCAGGGAGCTCAGAGGAATCCAGCTTCTATGGGCCCAGCACTAGGGCCAGGTGCGGGCACAGAAACCCACCCTTCTGCATCTCCCCATCTCTCTGGTGCTACACGAACTGTCTCTGTGCAGCTCAGCCTGTCAGCTTCCCTCCCTCTCCAGCTCCAGCTTTCCACCCTGATGGCAATCATGCCACCCAATGACCTGCTCTGTGCTCAAGCACTTTTCCTGTTTCAGCTCATTCATTCTTTGCAATTGCCAGTGAAGAGAGATTAGAATCGCCCTCCTTCCCCCCAGAGAAGAGTGAGCACTGGTAGATGAGTAACTGGTGGAAGTCCCAGGACGGGCACTGGGTGGTGTGGTGCGAGTGTCCATGCTCTGAGAGTCTCTCTCTGCCCTGGCCACATGCTGTGGGACCTCCCTGGTGGGGCTGGCTAGGACAGCTGCTCCTGAGAGAGGCTTCCAGAGCCGTCCCCTTCTCCAGGGGACCGGACCAAGTCATGGGCTGCATCAAACTTGAAGGCTGAGAGCACTGCATGGGGAGCCTGAACCTCCCCAGGTCAAAGGGAAGAGGGGATAGCACTGGGGGGAAGGTACAACGAAGGAAGCATCTAGCAGCAGACGGACTCCCTCTCCCTACTCAGCCCTCCCCTCCCCTCCCCCTGATACACACACTGGCTCTGGCTTCGCTAAGTTACCTTGATGAAGAAGGACCAAGCCAGCAACAGACAAAAATGGAGGATCTGCACCCGCCTGCTGAGTTCAAGCACCACGAGGGGAAAGTTTCACAGGGATTCTCTTGAGAGGTTTGGACAGGAAAGGAGAGAGACAGGAGAATAAGCAGGGGGCAGAGTGAGTCAGGGAGGCTCAGAAGGCAGGTCCCCCAGGAGGATGGGGCAGGTGGGGGTCTCTGGACAGACGGCAATAGGGAGTAGGGAGCAGGGGGATGCATGTGGTCTGCCTGCTGATGCTCAATTGCTCGCCCTGTGGCACAGTGAGTGGACCTCGACAGAGTGGGCTGATCATGCAGATTCTTTTCATTCTCTCAGAATAACCATATAACTTAGCAGGAAACTTCAGCACAAACCAAACCAACTGAAAAGAGTCGGAAATGTCTCATGCAATCACAGCCAGCAGCACTATGTTAAGAAATTATCCTGGGGTCTGCAGGGGAATATTGCCTTGTATGAGCGATATCACAGCGGGTAGGGCGTTTTCCTTGTATGCGGCCAACATGGCCAACCCGAGTTTGATTCTTCCACCCCTCTCGAGAGCCCAGCAAGCTACCGAGAGTATCTTGCCTGCACGGCAAAGCCTGGCAAGCTACCCGCAATGTATTTGATATGCCAAACACAATAACAAGTTTCACAATGTTACTGGGCCTGCTCAAGCAAATCGATGAACCATGGGAGGACAGTGACAGTGACAGTTCATTCAAGGCCGTTTGCCCTGCATGCAGCAGGTACCACATGTGGTCCCTTGAGCACTGACAGAAGTGAGGAGGAGGTAGGAGGAGGAGAAGGAAGTGGAAGAGGAAAAAAGAAAAAGACCCAGAGGAGGAGGAGGAGGAGGAGGAGAAGGAGGAGGAGGAGGAGGAGGAGGAGGAGGAGGAAGGGAAAAAAGAGCAGGAGGAGGAAGAAGAGGAGGAAGAGAAGGAGAAAGGAGAAGAGGAAGAGGAGGAGGAAGAAGAAGAGGAGGAAGAAGAGGAGGAGAAAGAAGAGAAAGAGGAGGAGGAAGAAGAGAAGAGGAGGGAAAGGAGGAAGAAGAGAAACAAAAGGATGAGGAGGAGGAGGAGGAGGAGGAGGAAGAGGAGGAGGAGGAGGAGAGGAGAGATGCTGGGGAGATGCTCACTGGGCTGGGTGAAGCACGTGCCTTGCACTCAGGAGCACTGAGTTCAATCCCTGGCACTTTGTGGCTTCCTGAGAGACCCTTGAGCAATACTGACTCAACCCCAACCCAATCTAACAAAACTCCAAATTATGTAAAGTCAAACGAATGCAAAAAAGTGACGCCAGTGTCTTCTAAAGATGTGAACTGATATGTACTGTTCTTTTCTATTTTCCTTTTCAAAACGTGTTTCAGAGTTGTCATTGAAAACCATCCTCTCCACACCCCGGCTTCTCCTGGCACCCCTGAAGACCAGCCCAGGAGGTAAGGGGTGGGCAGCCGGGCGGGGATGGAACCTTGTACTTTCCCAGTGCCCTGCCCACGAATGCAGAGCTGTACTTACCCTGGTGACTGGCAGGGTGAAATTCAGAGAGAAACTCTGGAAGAGAGAAACGAAAGTTAAACTTCCCTGACCACTGAATCGTTCCCAAATTTCCAGAAGAAGTTCCAAAAAAATTCCAGGGCTCTCGCCACCCCCAGGTCCCACTGCCAGTCTTGGTGCACAAAGAAGTCGGGGGGGCTACCACATGGATTCTCCCTCAGCAAGTCTGCGCTGAGTCCCCTTTCCTCAGGTCTCAGAGGGCCGGAGTAAGGGGCCGGCCTGAAGCCCGAGCGAGTCTCCACAAGGGCCGCCAGAGCCTTGCTCACCCTCAACCGCCCACCATGTCACCCACTCTACAACCCTGTGGGAGAAGTTCTTGGTACTTTCTGCCTGAAGTAGACAACCTTCCAGGTGGCCCTTCTGTCACCCCCTTCCCTACTGCATGAGCTCAGTAAGTGGGATGGGGGCTGCCCCGGTCCCTGTCCAGAGTGTCAGCACACTCTGACCCCGTGGACCACCCTAGGTGGAAATGGTCTTTCCACTTCCCAAACTCAGTTTCTGTCAGGACTGCCCTATGCAGGGCCCTCGGAGGACCCACCTGCAGCCCAGCCTCAACGGCACCCCAAGTTTGGCTTATTCATTCTCCAGCTCTCACTCTTCTGGAAGTCTCTCCAGAAGGAGCACTACTGTCGTTCTAGAAGCAATGTGTTCACTAAGTTGTTCGATCAAGTGTTGTTCAATCCAGTGTTGTTGGGAAGTTTCACAGAACCCACGGGCTCCCTGACATCTCAGCCCTGAAAGTCCTCAAAGATCATCTACTTCAAAAGCCTAAATGTTACAGAAGAGGAAACTGAGTCCCAGGGACTCAACAGAAATGTTTTTTTGGGTGGGTGTCACACCTGGCGATGCTCAGGGGTCACTCCTGGCCCTGCACTCAGGAATTACTCCTGGCAATGCTCGGGGACTATATGGGATGCTGGGAATCGAACCCAAGTCAGCCACATGTAAGGCAGACACCCTACCTGCTGTCCTATTGCTCCAGCCCCTCAACAGAAATTTCTTCTGGACAACTGGTAAAGGTAAAGGTAAAGGTAAAGGCCCTCCCGTTGATCGTCGATTTTGCTCGAGCGGGCCCAGTAACGTCTCCATTGGAGACTTTGTTGTTACTGTGTCTGGCATATCGAATACTCTCGGTAGTTTGCCGGGCTCTCCGAGAGGGGCGGAGGAATCGAACTCGGGTCGGCCATGTTGGCCGCTTGTAAGGCGAACGCCCTACCGCTGTGCTATCACTCCAGCCCACTTTATCTAGACCAAATATTCTCTGCTCATGCAACTCAAATCCAATCAGGAGACAGACACCCACATGAAAAATGGGTGAAGCACGCCTCTTTCAGCTAGGTGCTGGTGGGTTGGGGGTTAGATGGGGGGATAAACAAGAAAATCTTTTGTAAACTCAGCATGTTTTATGTACATAGAATTTCGGGTACCCTCTCTCGATGGGCCCAAAGATCATGTCTTTCCAGTTGCCCATTTTTCTGTCTCTTAGCAAGGGGAAAGGGGAAGAGTGGGGTGAGGGTGAGGAGAGAGAAAGAGAGAGAAAGAGAGAGAGAGAGAAAGAGAGAGAGAGGGAGAGAGAGGGAGGGGGAGAGAGAGGGAGAAGGAGGGGGGGAGGGAGAGAGAGAGAGAGACAGATAGACAGACAGATAGACAGACAGACAGAGAGATATCAAAGCCCAAAACCTAGGAGTGGAATTTAAAAGGCAATTCCCTCTGTCCTTAAAAAGAAAAAACTGATATAGGACCCACAATGGATAGGGCGTTTGTTTGCCTTGCTTGAGGCTGATGAGGGTTTAATCCCTGGCATCCCATTTGGTCTCCAGAATCCGCCTGGAGTGATCCCTGAGTGCAGAGCTAGGAATAAGCCCTGAGCACAGCTGGGTAACTGGGTAGCACTGTAGCACTGTCGTCATCATCGATTTGCTCTAGCGGGCACCAGTAACGTCTCCAAAGTGAGAGACTTTTTGTTACTGCTTTTGGCATACCGAATACGCCATGGGGAGCTTGCCAGGCTCTGCCATGCAGGTGGGATACTCTCAGTAGCTTGCTGGGCTTTCTGGGAGGGGCGGAGGAATCAAACCTTGGTCGGCCTCGTGCAAGGCCAATGCCCTACCTTCTGTGCTATCACTCCAGCCCAGCTGGGTGTGGCCCAAAGTCAACCAACCAACCAACCAACCAACCAACCAAATAAACAACCCCACAAGAAAATCTTGTTTAAGGGGCAGAGGAATCCAGTGACAGATCAGACGACTGTTGTGCACAATTCCCATACTGATGCTCTAGGTTTCATCCTTGGTACCACATAGTCTCCTAGCACCCAAGCACTCAGCCAAGAGTAGCCCCAGACCGCCACCAGATGTGACCCTAAAACAAACACACACACACAAATATCCAACAAAACAAAATATGCAAAGGGTTTGAATAAGTATTTCTCTATAGAAGAAACGTCTCACTGTTGGCCAATAGGCCCATAGAAAGGTTTTATCACCTCTGTTATAAGGGAAATGCAAATGAAGACTGCAGTGAGCTATCATCATGTACCTGAGACATTG